CCCAGGCAAACCCGTGAACCTTCCGGGCTGCGGTGCAGTGGGGTGGCCAGGCAGGCTGCCTGTGATGAGGGGTGCACGGGAGAGAGGGGTTTGGCACTGGGGTGCTGCAAAGGGTCCGTCCCTTGCCGATGCAGAGCTGCCTGCCGTGACTGATGGGTCTGCGGGGTTGGACCCTGCGCGACGAGGCGAGCTTAGCGGTCAGTCAAGGAGGTGCCTCTGCATCGCAGGGGAATGCTCTAGCCCCTGGCATGGGTGAGTGTCCAGCACCACCTTGCAGTGGGTGGGATGTGGGGTGACAGCGGGGTGTTTGGAAGGATGGTGTGGCCTGTGTACGTGTGAGAAGGGTGTTGAGGGACCGAGGAGCAATACGCTGGCGGGATGCATCTATGGGCAATGGCTCTTGCAGTGTGTGCCCTGGCTTGAGCCTGGGATGTGATGCCCCCATGGGCTGTTCCCGCCGGGGTGGCAGGATTGGGGACCGGTGGGAGAGGCTGGGACCATGAGAGGTGGCTGCAGGGCTTAGTCAGGGAGGGTGGCTGCAAGCCTTGCTGCTGGCGACCAGGCTGCTGCACGGCAGCATCACTCCCCTGCTCTGCAGCATCCTGACAAAGTCGTGTCTAGCCCGGGAAAGGGGGTTCAGCTCTCCACTCGCTCCCCTGGGGTTTTTGCCTCCTCCTGTCTTGCTTCTGCTTGTTTTCCCCAGGGGAGCAGCTGCTCTCCTGCTCGCTCTCCATCTCTGCAAGCCCTGGGGCTGCCAGACGCTGGTCTGCCTTGGTCTTGCCTGTCCCCAACCCCAAGCCAAGCCCTCCCGCTGCTCCCCGGAGCTGGCACCCCCTTTGCTGGCACTGCCTCAGCAGCACACCTCCATCCACCCTGTTTTGTTTGAAGCACTTTAATACCACGGGACAGCAGCTGAAAGGCTGCCTGTGTCCCTTTCTAGAAGCACTGAGTACATTTAGAGAAGAGGGAAGGGATTCTGGGTTATTTGTGGTTTCCACCCTCCGCCACGGACTTTGTCTGGAAGCAGCGGGACTTGCAAACCCAGCGGAGTTCTCCAGGGCAGGGCTGTGCCCAGCACCGACTGCTGTGAGTATCACTGGACCTGGCCACGGCAGTGAGCTCGTCCTAAGGCAGAGCGAGGGGCTGCCCCGGCTGTCAGCTGGAGCCCTCCCCACGGGACCATTGCACAGTGTAGCAACAAAAATGCCGTCCCTAATAAACTAAGTTACTAAGAGGCCTGGTTGTGTTGTGGCATCATTTCAGGTGGGGTGTCCCCGCCCTGGGGTCAGTGCCTGTTGGCCCCTGGGGTGGGGGGAGCGGGACTCAGTAGCTGATGGCAAGAGAGCAGTCAGGGGACAACTTGTGCCACCGCTGATGCATCGCCAGGTGTCACGGGGAGGGGGTTATTGTCACCACCCCTTGACTAAGCCATCTGGCTTGTGCCCTCCCCCTGCAAACTGCCCACTGGACTTGGGGCAGGGGCTACGAGCCAGCGAGTAAGGGGCTCTGTAACGCCTGTCCCCAAGGCATGGCCTTGGCTGCCCCGTCCCTGCTTGCATCCCTGTCCCACGCAGCCCGGCTCTCCCCGCGCAGCCAGAAACACCACAGACACAAGAGATACAAACTGTAAACTTTAAAACAGCTGTTGAAGGATGCGTATGCAAGGCCAGCGCAGCGCTGGCTCCGCGTGGAGCGAAGCAGGGCTTCCCTGCAGGCAGTACGGCACGAGGAGCCTTTTTTCCCCAGAACAGCCCTGCTCGGCCTAAATCGAAGCTGTGGTGAGCAGCAGCAATGGCGCCTTGGGCTTACTCCTGAGCACGGTGCTCATAGAAAGGGCAGCTCGAGCAGGGGGTGATGGCAGAGAAAGGAGACCTGCAACGCCCTGGGGCTCGCTGCTCCGACAGCACCCGGGGCGATGCCTGGCTGGGCTGTAAGGTGCGAGCTGGCACCTTGGCACTGTGCCCAGCCCTGGTCGTGTATGCCGCAGATGGACCAGAGGCAGCCTGCCGGGCCCGGGGACGGAGCGTCAGCTCTCCCCCTCGCTCGGAGGCGTCCGGAGAGCAGGTGGGATGCGGGTGCAAAGCAGGATGGGCTGCAGCATGGGCTGGGTTGTCTGCAGAGAGCTCTCCCCCCACCTCCGCGACCTTGGCCAGCAGGGAGGAGACCCCCCAGCCCCATGCCCCCCTCCTGCAGCTTGCCTACATATCCGTTGGGGTCCCTCCCGTCCAGCTCGTAGCGGTCGTTGAGGTAGATGGCAAACCGCAGGGCCTCCTCGGGGGAGCGGGTCCACTCCAGGATCTTCTTGGCCCAGTACATCCGCAGGAAGCCGTGCATCTTGCCCTCCCGGACCATCTGGAGCTGGGGGGAAAGGGAGAGTCGCAGGGGTCAGTCCGTGCCAGCTCACCTCTGCCCCCCGGGAAAAGGCTCGGCACTTTGTGGGGGAGATGCGGGGTGCTACCTGGGCAGCGTTCCAGAGCGGGTCATGCGTGGTCCCCTGCTCCAGCTCCTGCAGCTCGTAGAGAAAAGGCCTCTTGTCTTTGGCGTGGAGCTTCAGGGTGGTTTGCGCCCAGTCGTAGGCACCTTTGAGCAACAGAGATCAGGAGTAACACTGAGCAACCTGCTCCTTGCAAGGCCCCGAGGAAGGGATGGAGAACTGGGCTACTGAGGGCACCGTGCCCTGGAGGCACCAGCCTTGAAGCAGGCATCTGCCCGCTCCTGTCCTACCTCCAGAAAGGTACCGAATGGTGGCACCTTAGGGCCCCCACAGCCCCTCTCCTACCAGAAAGGGGATTGCCAAGTTGGGGTGACCAGGTGGGTGCCAGCCAGGCCCCCAGCATTGCCCACCCAACCCGGGATGTCACCTTGCACGCTGTCGTAATTCTCATTGTAGTAGCAAAAGTTCTCAGCCAGCTCCCGCCGCACCACAGCCTCCTCCAGGAACGTGTCCACCGACTCCTTGTACTTGCCCCGGTGCTTCTGTACCTCCAGGATGGCTCGTTGGGTGGAAACCTGGCCTGGGGAGGGAGCAAGTCAGGCTGCTGGTCCAAGGCACCGTGCTGGCTCCCGCTGCTGAGTGGGAAGCCTGGGATGCTCACCAAAGTGGAACCACGGGGACAGGTTGCTGAGCGCCGCCTTGTTGGGGTCGTTCCGGTGGGAGCCAAAGGATTTCAGCCGCTCCGCGATGAAGGACCGCAGCACCGCCAGCCCCGCAGCCATGCCAGGGGTCGCCCACTCCACCTCCTTCACGGTGCGGTCCACCTGCAAGCTGGAGTAACAGGCCTCCCAAGCAATGGGCTGGGCGGCCACCAAGCAGCGTCAGTGCATTTGCAGATGCTCTTCAGCTGGGGCTGCCCTCAGTGTTATGTCCCCAGGATGTCCCCAACCAGCAAGTCCCCAGCTCATGCCAGCCTTCTCCCCTTAACCAGCTCTGCACGGCAGAGATCTAGTAATTGAATCAGTGAGGCAGGAACCTCCCTTCCCCACGTCATCCCCATCTCCACACCACCTGCACGTGACCTCAGGTGGGTCACTGTCCCCATTCCCTCCCAGGATCACAAAGCATCTGTGAAACTCTCTGGGGCTGGACGCGAGTGGGTGTAGAGGTGTCTCCTCTGGTACCTCTGCTGGGCAGGACGGGGGATATGGGTGACGAACGATGGGGGGGAACTCGGTGAGGAACTCGGGGAGCTGAGCGTGGATCTTGCCCCGGAGGGTCCTGGCACTGTACTCCTGCTTGGGGGAGGCGACCCAGCAGGGCACGATGTTGTGGGCATCAACCTGGGAAGCAAAGCCATGGAGGAAGGTGTGACCATGAGAAGCAAACGGTCCCGATGACACGACACGCGCTCTCTGCTCAGGCTACTCCAGCACACTGCTCCAGGCACGAAACACAGGAGACAAGTTTCTCCCACGTCTCACCAGCCACAGTTTTCCCGTCCCAGCATGCGGGCACGCACCTGTGCAAATGGCACATCCTCCGGCAACCGCTCCTTGACGTCCTCCACCCACTGCCGGGGGAGGCGGAGGGGACAGAAGTCTGTCACCAGCCCACCCACGCCATGCTCCACCACGAACTCGGGCAGCACATCCTTGGCGTAGCCCAGCAGCAAGTGGAAGGGGATGTTCAGCTCTGTGCACTCCTGCAGCGAGGGGGAAAGGGCTACGGGATGGTGGCTCGTTCCTCTGCAGACCCCGTCCCACCACCACCCGCTGAAGGGACGGATCTGCCTCCCCTGTCCCACCCAACGTGGGCATC